CAGGCTGACAATAGGGCAGGAGCCTGGCCATGAGCTGCAGCTCAGCTATTAGGCATGGGGTGGGACCCCTTCCTCCTCAGCAGTGGGAAATATTTTCTGATGTTTGTGCAGGCAGGAGGTGATGCCTTGATCTGGTTCATGGTCTTCTGCCAAACCTGACTTGCAGCCCTGCACCCTGGAGGGTTATGGGTGGAAGAGCTGCCACTGAGGAGGGAAAAGAGATGCTCTGGGGAGCAATAGGCTCTGGAGGGCCTGTAGAGGTGCTGGCAGTCCCACGGTTTGCTACAGAGAAACCCAGAACAGAAAGCTGGCATGGTTTCCTCCAGTCCAACCTGATCCAGTACCATCTGCACAACAGCCCTACAGCTGCACTTATGCACAGTACTATCCCATACGCCCTCATCACCTCCACATCCCCTTGCCTGTCTGCGGCTTGCATTGCCCCAGAGGAGGCTGTACAGCAGTGTCTGTCTGAGGGGTTTTTGTAGGGGTCTGCCATGGGTGTGCCGGGAGCACCTCTGGGCTGGCCAGAGCAGCCAGGACCCTTATATCTGCTGTCTTCATGAAGGGCTCCCTCCCCAACCTGCTGTCCCTCCAGCAAGCTGCAGCCATAACTTCAATACGCCCGGCAGCCGCGTGAGACGCAGCACCCTGCTCCCTGGGAAATGTTGACGCCTGCCCCAGTGGGCTCCTGCTCCGTGCACACACACACCAGCCTGGCTAGCAGGGGAGGGATGATCCATCTCTGTCACCCCAGGGAGCGATGGCCCTCTCCGGCAGCGTGCTCGTGCAGGGAGCGGGAATGGACGGGGCAGCTCCGGGCTCCAGCTGCCAAAACCTTCATCCCGCCTGGTGTCTCCCCACAGCCACCAGCTGTGAGGTGTCAGCCGCCGCTGGGTTAGCCTGTCGCTCCTCAAAGCAATGTGAGGTCATTAGCTAATTAATCCCCATTCCCTTTCCATGGCCGGGAGGAGTACTGGCTCCGTGCCAAACCTCAGGCATGGAGAAGCAGGCAGTGATTTTGCCTTATGCTGGATGAGGTGGTGGAGCTGGCGTGGAGGGCTCCAGCAACCCGGCGCAGCATGGGGGGACAGGACAGCAAGCCCTGGGATGCAGGGCACCCCCTGCCTTGCCTGTGGGTGGCAGCCCTGCTCCTGAAGGTCCTTTTCCCTTGTGTCTGTCCCACATGGACGTGGGATCTCCCCTTTTCTCCCTTGATCCAAGGGGCATGAGGGCAGGCCAGGGGAGCTGGGCACCCTGAGGACCAGGCTGCACTCTCTGCCTCCTCCCATCAAGAGTCCTCAGGGCAGCAAAGAGGGTCAAGAAGCAGCTGTAAGAGAGGCTGAAGGAAGTCAAGGTGGCTGTTCCTACGCAAGGTGGGTCAGTGCTGGTGGCAGGCCATGAAGGGAGAAATGTTTCCCAGAGATCAGCAATCTGATGGAAGCAAAAAGCCAGGAGACGATCTGTAGCTGGCATCAGCACAGGGCTATCCCTGATAGAAAAGAGCTGGGGGAGGGAGTCAAGGGCAGTCAGATCCCTCCTGGGGATGGATGTGTGGTGGATATAAGAGACCACATGATGGAAGAGCATGACAGCGTGTGTGGAGAAAGACAGCTGGACGGAGGTTCCCCCTCCGTCACCAGATACCCAAGCATAATTTAATCCAGCACGTCTTCCCCTTCCCCTGCACACCAAGCAGATGGACAGTGCTTTCCCAGCCAGACACACAACCCTGCCCTGATCTGGGTCTCACATGGGCTAGAGGAATACTGCTGCGGTGGGCTGTAGCTACAGCCTGTATCTCTAAATCTTCCCTGCTTTTTAGGTCACTTTGTTCTCCTTATAAATCCTGGCCTTGTTGTACAAGCCATAAATCTTCCTCTCCAGTCAACACCATTTATTTTTTCTTCTGTTCTTGTTAAAATAACGGGGTCAGAATGTTTAAAATCCAGATTGTTGCATTTTCTGCAGTTTTGGCTCATAGTGAGTATTCTCTTCCTCTCTGGGAAACTATCACAGACTCATGGCCAGAAAGGACTGCTTAGAAACTTGAGGGAAGAGAGGAATGGGGGAAGAGGGGTCCAAAGGATGTGCTGAAATGACCTGCCACTCACATAGTCCTCACACATACACACAAGTCCATGCATGCTCATAGCACACCCAGTGCGCCTACATGGATGCAGCCTTGCCTTCCCTGCTTTCACAGACCCACCGCCTTGCTGGCACCCTGAATCTGCCTTTGCTGAGGCTCTTCGCTTGCACTGATCAGAGCTGTATCTCCTCCCTCCATCCCTGACCCCTATAACCACCCCCAGATACCTGGCAAGCAACCACACAAGTGGTTCCTATCCTCCCCCTTGCCAAGCAGGGCTGTTCACCCAAACCCGGTCCCTACCATCCCAGCTTGGTGCTCTGCAGCTTTCTACCCTTCCCAGTGCCAGGAACACTTTCTCAGCCACATCTTTACCTAGTTGTTCTCCTCGCCCTTTCCTGCAAGGTGCTGCTGGGTCCCTATCTGGGACGAACAGCACCTCTCCTCTGCTGCCTGCCCGGGGAGGGGGAGAGACTCTATGAGATTGGATTCATGTGTTGGCACAGTGGGAAATAGCCTCTGCTAAGCACCAGGTACCAGGGCAGCCCTGCAGAGACAGACGCATGAGCCTGCCAACAAGTTGTGTGTGATGGTGCAAAGCCAGTGCTCCCATGCTCAGCAAGCCCGGTGTCCGCAGAAGGGCAGTGAAGCACCCCTGTGTATCTGCATTACAGTCCTCTTCTTAATGACCATACAACTAGTGTTTCTGTAGGTGTCATGTGAAGGGCTGTACTCACTTGAGCACGCAGTCAATACTCCTTTCAATCTTCATCACTCACTGTCTGGCTTCAGGCTTTATTTATTCCACAGCATCAAATCACTGAGCCAAAGACAAAAACGGCTCGCTCCCTTGTGGCCTTTTTGGTGGGCATTCTCAGTGATCAAGCTCTAACAAAATTAGCATTGCTTCTACCTCTGGAGGTGATATTGCTGTCTGCAGTGCATGCAGGGGGGGCTGAGCCTTAGCAGCTGTACAATCAATAGTACAGAGCACCTTGCAGCAACAGCCTGAACCTCAGTCCAGTTTCTAACCTGCCAGCACATCCTCCTCTCCCTCAGGGAAGAACTGCACCATAAAGTCCAGGAATATATCAGTGTGTAGGTTGTGAGAATGATGGGTGTGAATGGGATGTAAGGCAGAGACACAAACTGAAGAGTAGACTCTGGGTTATCAGAGGTAATTCTCAGTGGTGGTGCCCTGTTTGAGTGAGACAGAGCCCATGTTTTTGGAATATGTATTATTTTATAGCTGACAACACACTGAAAGATGTGAGTGCTTTTGAAAAGCAGACCGTAGTGTTGGGACATCTAGAACAGGTGGAATTAACAATTAATGACAAAAATAAAGTGTGACAGGACAAAAGATCAGTGGCTGGAGCGGTCTCCAGCTCCCTAGGAGATATGACATTTAACTACCTTCCATGTTCCTTCTCTGGCTGCTGCCCCTGCCTCATTTACCTCCCAGCCTGTGCAAGAAATGAAGCCAGGTTCCTGCAAACGGCAGCCTGCTTTCCTGCCCAGCCCCGGCCCAGCCTCAGAGCTGTTCTGGCGTGTGTGCTAAAGGAGGGGGCCCTGGGGAGAAGTCATGGCAGAGTTGGACTCAGTCTCAACACATGCATGACAAGGGTGAGCTGAACTTATGCAGAAGTGACAGAGATGAATGCTCTGTGCATGCATATATATTATATATGTATGTTGCATACATATATAAATATATATGAATTTGTTTAATAATACTTTCCATCTTTAAGACCTGAAGCTCCACAGTAATTCCAGTATCCATGTCCCTCCAGACTCCCATCTGGAGCAGTCATTTTTCATTATGAGAGAGAATAAAGGAAGCATTTACTAAGCATGATTACTTTCCCCTGAAGGAACCAGCCATCCACTTTGCCAGTGGGTTTCACAACTTTGCTACAAGGGCACCATAGGAGGTAGAAATGCTGGGTTAGCTGGGAAGACCCTTTTTCATTGCTTTGAGCTCTGTCCCAAACTTTCTCCAGGCAGCTTAAGATGGCACTGGCTCAGCATCGTTAACACCAGCAGAAGTGGAGGGTATGTCTGTAGCTTACGTGATCCACTGCTCCACAGTCATGGCAGGTACCTGGGTGCTGCTTTAATATTTTAGCAGCTGTGGAGCTTCAGCCAACAGTTGCAGCTTGTGACATTGAAACTATGTTTGGCTCTCACATCCAGTTCTCCTAACTGTTGCTCTAACCACAGTGCTGGAATAAGGCAATTTTTATTTAGGCTCTAGCTGAGTAGCCCTGCAGATCTCTTGGCACAGAGAAGACACTTTCACCCAAGAACATCTTAGGCATCGTGCGGGCCATGGCTGGCATTGCCCATTCCCTGATGGGCCCATGGAGTAGCTGGGCCCATGCTGGAGACCCCTGGGTGGAGGGGAGTACCAGGACAAGGGGACCTGGTGCTACATTGACATCCCATGCCTGCTGTTTTTTTCACACCTGCTAGTTTCGGAGCAAGAGAGGCCAAGAGCAAGGGACAGAAGAGGACTGGCTTTGCTTAGTGGCAGCAGAACCCAGCAGCCTCAATATCTGCAGGCCTGGGGCGGGAAGGAGAGGTTTGGGTAAGGGCACATCAAGGGAGGGATCTGCACCACCCACCCTGTGCTCCCTTCACAAGGCTCCCGAAGCACTGAGTGCCCCAAACCTGCCTGTGCCACGTCCTCTGCCCAGCTGCTACGCTGCGGTTTGAGAAAAAATGAGAAGCCCTCCCCAGGGACCTCACCAGACGCTTTTGGGAAGACCCAAGGGTCAAACACTGTCATGTGCCTTGGTGTTAGGCAGCAGTACCAGCTCCTCCTTGCCCCAACCACTGTGGACACAAATTGCAGGCTGCACCTTGTCATCCCAACCCGGCACAGAGGGACACGCAGGCTCACCCACTCGAGTACTGCAGCTTTATTTGAATGAAACAATCCACGTTGAGTCTATAGGTTACACGACGGGTGCGTCAGGGTTGGGGCAGGGGGACAGATGAGGCAGCGCTTATAAAACATCTCACCCGGTTTAAAAGGATCAGTTCAGTCCCTTTGTGTTTGTGCTTTTAACATTGTGGACAGCTAGGTATTGTGGTGGTGAGAGGGTCCCAGCTCTGCTTGATGACAGTGACAGCACCCTACGAGATGTGGTGGGACAAGATGTGGTGGCAATGAGGGAGGTAGGTGGAGAATGGGGCTGTGTCCCAGGGTCCCCACCCAGGATATCAATGGGAAAAGAAACAAGAGACACCAGAAGACCCACCCTCCTCCACAGTATCCCCAAATGCAGAGTCTGTGGGTAGCTCCTTTTGGATGGGTGTTTCTAAATGCTTCTGTCAGGTCAAAGTGTACTTTCTACTGGCCTTGGTGACCTGGAAACATGAGGGTGGCACAGTCCCACTGGCACTGGATCCCACTGAAGTGGCTCACCGTTGGGCCTGAGCTGATTCTCCCTGCCCCTTGCAAGCTGAGGACAGGATTTTGGTGTGATCCCCTTCTATGGGATCCAGGGATGAAGTCTGCTGCTGATCTCTCCAGGCTGGAAATGAAACACTTGGTGAGGATAAGTACAGAGCAGAGGGATGGAGTGAGGAAGAGTGTGTGAAGAACTCTCTGACACTCACTTCTGGCCCACTACGTGCATTGTGATACAGGCAGGATGGTTCTGGCTGGGAAAAAACGGCCCAAGCAAAACCATGCTGGCACCAAATTTTCCATCCCATCTAGAGATCAGAGATTGACTCCATGCAGTATGGCAAGGGCTGTGACCAAAACTACAAAGAAGAGCCATGTATCTGTAGCACCCACAGCTTTTGGGGAATGTCCTGAGAGATGAATGCATGCTGTGGAGCCCTCTGGGGTGAGATGGTAAATCTAGAAGATCCCAAGAACTGGGAAAACAGGCCAAGCTCATGTATTTGAAAGTACTGACACTAAGCGACTTTACCTGTCATTGATGCCACCAGTTACATCAATGCACTGAGAAACTGGGGATGGGCAGTGGAGAAGGACAAACATGAAGGTTCGATGAGAGGAAAGGGTCACCTTCAGAAAATTCTGAGAGTCTTCTTGTCCCAGGATGTTACCTTGCAGGGTCTCCAGGCAAAAAAAAAAAAAAAAAAAAATGCACAGGAAAGCTCCTTTGCTCCCAGCATGTACCTTCCCCCACTGGCATCTGAATGTTCCCAGGGAAACCTCCAGCACTCACAAGTCCCTTGCTGCTTTGCTTCTGTGTGGTGTATGCTGCGGCCTATACTGAAGACCTAAATACTGCCCCGTCTCAATTCCTGTGGCATTTCAAAGAGTACTAAATCAATTTTCTCCTCTCATCACAATGTAGGCACTGTCTGAGCTGACCATGCTGCTACAGGCTCTCCTGGCTGTTGCTCCATTTATTGGTACCCATAGCTGGTTCTCGAGAACAAGGCCCAGTGAGACAAGATATACCAAATGCTCCCCCCTTGGAGGATGTTCAGGGTTGGAGTGTGGGCAGTGGGTGAAGGCAAAGGTGGGGGATGGACAGAGATGCTGCTGACTCCAAAAGGGGCTTTCGAGTCCTGTCTCGTCCCTGCTGCATTGCTGGCAGCTGCAACGCACCCACACGTCAGTTTTCAGCTCTGGTCCCTTTACAAGCTGCTAAGATAAACACCTTACCACTGGACCTACACAGGGCAAGCAACAGCTGGAGACAGCTTCATCTCAGTGCCGCATTATGTACCACAGTCTCCAAAAGAAAACGGGGTGGTGCCTGCCCGCAGAGGCCGTGACGCAGACAGGGAAGTGGGGCTGCGCTCTCTCTTATCTGGTTTGGGCTCAGCCCGTGCCCTGAGCAGCTGTGATGCCAAGAGCAAAGGAGTCATGGATCACTCACAGTGGCCGAGCAGGACTGCTGACATCTGGTATATTCCAGCTCCTACCTGGGCCTGCCTTTGCTGATTATCTGAGACATCCCATAGTTATGAAAGTTTTGAGCGTCTAGAAGTAACTCTCCATTATAGCAGCTGGGTTTTATGCAACTAAAATCCACTTCACTGCCTAGATGGCAGAACCAGAGCCCTGCTCCCTCAGCCAAAGTGGACCTCCGTTGGCTAGCAGCAGCAGCGGGTCTTTTCTCTTCCTACAGACTTGGCTTGTAGACAGGACGTATGCATGTGCAGGGCGGTAGAGCAGCCAGGCACCCTTCGCTTGGCTCAGTACTTCAGGCGAGGACCCAGCCGTTACAGCATAAAGCACACCCAGCACTGTGAGCTTTGGGCACCGGCACTGCTGGAGGTACCGGCACTCTGGGAGAGCTGTACAGCTGCCCCTGTATTATGCTGAGTTTAGGCCACTCTGGGGGGTAAAAAGTCCTACTGGAAGCCAAGCATTCATAGCCAAATTCCCCCTAAGGACAACAGTTACTGGAAGCACAAAATTTTGCCTCCTTCCACAGGGACAAATGGTTTATAGGCCATACCAAATGCATGCAAAACCTGGATTTACCACAGACCTTCACAGATCTCTACAAAAACCTCTACTCACCTAGCTCTACTTTTGCAACAGCTGCCAGCGAAGGCAGCATTTCTCCATCTCCCCTTCCCTTGCTTTCTGCCCCGTGCTGGAAAATCCTCACCATGAAAGGCACCAGCGGGAAAGGCAGTGCTTGTGTGCTGGGACCCAAGTGCTACCTGCCTCTGCAGCTTCTCTGAGGGATCACCTGTACAGGCCCAGTGGGATGCTCGGCTTCTCCGCGCACAGATGTGCTGAGGATCTGGAGCTGGATCAGCACATCTTACTAGTACAGGTCCAGCAGAGAAATGTGATCTAAGGGTTTTTTTCTTTAGTCTCCATCACTTTAGCACCTGAGCAGCTGCAGGTTAGAGCCCACTGCCTGACACCAGTAAAACAAAGGGCAACACAGCGTGGAGCTCATCTTTCCCCTCTCCTTTTCAAGAACATGAACAAGCTCTGTTCCATCCTCTCAGCCACCCATGGGGCTGTTGTGAGCCCTCTTTTTCCTCTGATGAAGCCAGGATGTGACCCACACTAGGTCCCTGATGGAGCCAATACATACCCTGAAGCGCACTTGTCTTCCCACTCCACCACCACCACCATCCAGGCAGCAACCCCAGCCCCTCAGGCTGTGCCAAGGCTGGGGAGAGCAAGTTGGAGAAGGCGCCAGACCAGATCTAGGCAATGCAGGGTGTAACAAGTGCCAGACGCAGTTATCAGGGGGACTGAGCCCCCCATCCCCTGCAGCAACACCACAGAGGGACATGGTGAGCCCTGTTAACCTGCTGTCGGTCTCTGGAGCTCTCCTTTTGACGGAGGATGCTTGATGGCAAAGCATGCACCTTATACCCAACCCAGGGTCTAGATGTCAGGCACATATCCCACTCAGCCAAAATGGAGAGGGATGGCACTGCTCTTCCACTGGGCAAGAGGTGTCCTGGAGACTACAGCTCCCTGCAAGCTGCATCCCCTCCCTCTCTGGAAAGGCAGGTTGGGTGAAGGTGCCCTGGGCTGTCCTGCAGTACTTGGGATGTTCAAGGCCTTCAGGGCACAAGTAGCTGTGTCTGGTTTGATGTGACCATACCAGACTGTAAGTAGCCATCCGAAGAAGTCAGAATCCCCCTGTGGTGGGCTAGGTGGTGGCAGGTGGTGGGCCAAACTGGCATGTGTCTTACTCCCAAAGGGAGTACTGAAAAACACATATATAACCCAGCTATCATTTGCGATGCCAGGGCTATTCAGCTCCCTGCTGGAAACCACCAGCTGCCAGTTATTACCATGGAGTGTAAATTGGGTCCTGTTAAAATGCAATTTCCAGAGCTCTCCAGCACTTGTTTTTCTGCAAATGCCTTTTGTCTGCACTAAACGACTTCCCAGGCTGAGCAGGATGAGCAGTTATCAGTGGGGCCAAAGCAAATACAAATGGCAGCAACACCTGGCTTCTCCTGCAGCCTACACAGGGTCCTGCTGCTGTATGCTTGTAGCCTCTACGAACAGGGGTGTGCCCGCATTGAGGGCAGCCTGGAAAAGACAAGATGTCTGGACAGTTTAATGGAGAAAGAGAGGGGGACTGAAACTGGTCTGTGCCCAAGCCAGGAGTGGGAGAAGGTCTCTCATTTGCACAGGCAATACTCACAGTGCAACTTCTTGTCCTCACTAAAAAGCAAGGTCCTGCTCCCTGGGTGCAAGAGCTGGGCATCGCTGTGTGCCGTGGTGCTGTGTTCCACCACAACCGGCTTAAAGCACAGAGCCCATGGTGATGTGTCCCTCCATGCTGTTGTTAGGCTACCCAAAGGCACCCAAGAGGCAAAGGGGTGCTGCTGAATTTCCAGGGAGAGATGGAAATCTGCATGGCTCTGACAGATGAAGGGGACTCAAACAGCAACACCCCGAAGCAGCAACTCCCTGAGCTTTCTGCTTTAAGGCAAAAGTTTGTCTCTTTAAGGTGACACCATTTACCCCATCTATGAGGGAAAATACCCTGGTTCCTTGGTCTGTCACTGCCCAGGGTGGGTGGGATCCCCTCAGGGCAGCGTGAAGGACCCCCTGGCTATTCCCAAGGGTAAAACTCCCAGCCTCAGCCTCCCTGAGAGCTGGAGGGTGCAGGGCTTGCTCCTATCAGCACCTTGCACGAGTATCGCTTCACGCTGCAGACAAGGTTCAGGGCAACGATGGTGAGATGGAAGGATGCTTCTCCCACCAGCGCTGCCCGCTGCTCCCAGTGACTGTCCCTCCCAGGCTGAGAAGCGCAGGGCATCAGCCCAAAAGCAGGGTGCTTTTCCTGCCACAGAGTGATAGGGACGGGCTGAGGAGGAGGAAGCCAGACACTGTTCTCCCTTTGGTACTAAAGCATTTTCACGTTGCTCTGGAGTATTGCACCCGTAGGATTTCATATAGAAAGAAATTAAATTTCCATACTTTGAATAGCAATAGGGAATAAAATACAATTTGTATCATGTTTACTACGCTCATTCATACATCCATAAATTATTTTTGCAAGAAATTTACCAGCCTAAACATCTGAACCTCCCCTATTTTTTCCCTGATTGCCACCCTATTTCCTTCCAGAAGAAAATTACTTCCCAGAAGAAGGGCTCCATATCACTGCTGTTACAGCTGCTCTTCAGGCAGCATGCCATGCAGCTCTGCTGGGGTAGCTCTGCATGCATGCCAATCACAACACTTCACTTTAGGAGTTTCCGAGCCATTTGTTCACTATGCAAAGTTTTTCATATAGATGAAACGGGTTTTTTACTCCCATACGGCTGGGAAAAGTTGTGCTCAAGCGTTCCAAATTACTTAACTCCACATCAAATGAAACATATTAGCTCCATTGCTTTCCAGTGGCTGATCTATGTGGAAGAAAAATAGTCTATTACCATTACCAGCCAGGAGTTGCTTTTCAGAGTAAGCAGTAGGAATTGATGTTCATATTGTTAAAAACCATGGATTAAAGTCCTGTTGATGACCTGTCATTGGGACTTGCACTGAACTGTGAAAAATTATAATAAAAAAGTATATTTTTCAGAGTACAACGAACAACTACAAAAAGAGGTTTCAAATGAAAGTTTCTTTGTAAGCCCCACTTGTAACTACACAGTAGCATTCACTACTTCTAATATCTACAACTTATACCCAGGAGCCTGCACACTCACATATTTTCTGTTTTATACCCTGGAAAAAAAAGAAGTTGTTGAGTATATATCGGCTAACACCCACACAGCATTCTTCCTAATGTATTTCTACAACTACCAAGCAGAGGTCTCCTTGTAAATAAAAGCAGTCTCTTAAATTTATATTGCACTTTTCTTCTGCAGGGACTTTCATACTATGTACAGGAATAATCTCCACCATCACTGAAATGCAGCCACTTCTGGAGTGGAATAAAGCAGATACTCGATAGGCACAGAGCAACATAAAACATCGAGAAACATAATGTTGGGGCTGCAATAGATATTTAAGAAGGCAGTCTGTAATTAAGTTTAAGGACTGTAATTTAGCCAGAACACTGTGAAAAGTGTGAGGGGATCTTTAATTGCAGGGGGTAAGGAGCATGGCTTTATACCTCACCTGGGATGCATCACCACTGCAAGGATTGCCCCCTCGAGTACGGGGTGGTAAACCACAGATACTACCACCCTCAGAGAGGAGAAACACTGCCTCCCCCTCACCCCTATCATTGCACAGCTTCTCATTCTTGCTGCCGAAGTGCCTCTTTCCTCTGCTACACTCTCTCGGCGCATCTGCCAGGGAAATGAAGTCCTCAGTACTTCTGACAAGCTGAGGCACTTGGGTTAATGACTTTCCCCCAAACTCAGCACCAGCTGCTTTCCGACCAGAGATAAAGGAGCAGAGGTCTAAGTGGGAAGGGGCTCCCTGAGACTTTTACTGAAGCTGGTGGGCCCACGCCTGACAGAAGGAGAAGGCTTCACCTCCAATTGGGACGATCTGGGTGCTCTGCCCTGTACCCACTGCCTGCGCTGTGGGTCGGCTTGGTGAGGCACTTACATCCTTCCTCGCAGGAGCTGGCAGCAGGGCATGGACACCTTCCCTGCAGGTGTCCCTTTCTAAAAATGTGGTGCCCCTTTGATGACACTTGCCTCACAGATAACGCTTTGCCTGTGATCCTGAATCTTCAGGCTGCACCTCCCCAGCCCCACAGCACCTCAGCTGCCCACTAAACATCGGCAAAACATGCTCGTGCAACCCCGGCTAAGCAGCCAGTAGAAGCAAGGCCACAAGGGTCTCTGCCTCAGAACCTAGAAGGTGAGATGGTTGTCCTGGGGTATATCTTACCAATGGGGAAACGCTCCTGTCTCCATCTTCTGCCCAGCAGAAGCCTCCTGGAACCAGCAACGCAACACAAATGTTTGCCACTGACAGATCAGGAGCCATCGTGAAGCACCCAAAGGCCCCTAGAAAGCACCATCGCTCTCCTAGAAGTGGACTCTTATCAGGAATGGGGTGGTGACTTCTGGCCGCCAACAAACATGGAGGAAAGGAAGAGCATATGACTGAAATAATTCAGCTAAAAGATGATGGTGGCGCTGGCTGCCCATGAAAATGGCAACAGACAGCAAGAAGCAGAATTGCTGTTGGCATCCACAGCATCCCACAACACTGCCTGGACCTGGGAGACAATCACAGGTCTCTCGGTCAAATAGGCAGTTTGATTGAGGTCTGGGCTCTGGAGGGAGGAGTGGAGACAGAAAAGACACAGACCTCATTCTTGGAAGTGGAGAAAAGCAACAGGAGCAGAGGAGAACTGTATCATCTCCTCACTGTCTTGCGATCCCTCCTGTGAAGGAGGTCACTTTGTCCCTCAGAGCTGGTGTCCTTTCTCTCTCTGATAGTGGCTGGGGAGCATTAGTGCAGATAAATGCCCTTCCACGACATAGTGAGGGGTTTCAAGACTTCAAACTGGATCTCTTGGGAGTTAAGAGCTTTCCCCCTCCATCAGCAGAGGAAATGAGGCACCAGCTGCTGCTGGGAGCTGAGCAATACAGGAGGCAGCTAATATATTCAGGTGATTTTAGACAAGCACAATTGTCTCAGAGAAGCTGATATATTCATTAGAAGTGAGTAAGGAGCCATGGGTACCAGGGGCTCCGGTGAGAAAGCTAGCTCAGCGTGTACCTGTGGTGCCCCAGATTTGGAGTTTGGATGGGGTGTCCCTTAGGGGGAAGAGTCCCACTGAACTGAACTGCCAAAGCATGGGCTAGTAAACCCCAGTTCACAGTCCTGTGGGGCTAACTCTGCACTGTGCAGGGCGGTAAGTCATGCTCAGAGCTTCTTCTAGTTGCAACAAGGCTACCACAGATCCCACTTGGCCGGTGCAGGGTGGACGCTTCTCCTGGGGGTTCATCTGGAGCAGCACGTGCCTCCACCCTGAGAGGGTCAGGCCAGACCTGCTGCAGGTCTGCAGTGGAGACACACACCAACTTTACCCTTTCTTGATGCCAGCAGGGAAAAAGTGAATTTCCCCCATTCCTGTTCCCCTCTTCCTCAGTGGCAAACAGGGCCACAGCTCAGGACAAGCCCCTCTTTTGAGTCACGCTTCCTGCCTCCATCCTTCTTGGGACATTTTCCTGCTTGTTCCACCTTTCAGCTCCTCTGCCCACTGCTTTGGCAGTGGCAGCCGAGTGCCTTCAAGGCTGCACATGCTGACAAAATTCAGGCACCTCTCCCCTGAGCAGTGATGCCTATTTCCACACTTGGCCCACCCTGCAGCTAATCCCCTGTGCATGCTAAAAGGCTTCAGAAGGTGAGAGGGAAGTATTGGAGTTGCCTGAACTGCTGGTCCAGGGGCTGGGTCATGGGCACAGGACCTCCTGTCTGGCTCAAGAAGGTTTAAATGCTTGACTCTTTACATAATCCAAAAAGCTTGAAGTGGAGAAAGTTAAGCAATGGAACAAAAGATCAAAATAAATAGGCAATGGAAGAGAGGCAGAGAAGCAATCCTGGACTTAGGGCTGAGGCAACAGTCATCCCAACATTCACAGGGGGAAGCCAATGTCCAACTGTTCCTCCCTCCCCACCCCAGCCCACCCCATCCCTCAGCCCCACAGAGACACCTTTCTGTTTGCAGCTCAGACCTGCTCTCATAGTTTCTCTACCCAGCAAGAGTGCTGGGAGAGAGAACGAGATGCTCAGAGGCCAATGCAGTAGCCGGATCCAGCCGGGACTTCTCCACCACTCAGCATGGTCCATGTGATGGGTCCATTCCTCTTCCATCTTCTTCAGGCTGGCGGGTGAGAAGCCCAGAGTGGTGGGGAAAGGCCAAAGCAAACCACACAGGGGGCAATTAAATACATGAGAGCCTGGAAGATGCGGATGGATGGAGACACTGAAGCACATGCGGTGCAAGGGAAGGTGCTCCAGCCACCGGCACATGGCGTGGCTGCTGCCCCACACTCGAGGCTGGCGTTCCTGCAGGGAGCTGCAGCCGGAGCGGGGCAGCCCCAGCCAGTGGGAAAGCGTGGGGAGACAAGGGGGGTACTGCGGTGTGTCATCCACTAAGCTGTGGGCTCTGCAGTAAAGAAGGTAACTGTTCTGGTAGAAATTTGTGCTTTAATATATTTTTGTTTGTTTGTTTAAAACAAGTTTCCACTTCCCTGAGGAAGTCCTGTCCGACATTCCTAAGGAAACATGAGGGTGGTGCTTTCCTCCTTCATTCACTCTCCACATTTCTTCATTCCTATTTTTTTGTCTTTCGTTCCTTCTTTTCCAAGTGTTTCTGTTTCTTTCCTTCCTTACTCTCTCTCTCTCACTCTCTCTCTCGTGCACGTGCTTTAAAAAAATGTTTGTCTTTATTTTTTAATTTTGTTCTAGACATTATGACTTTCTCAAGGAGTGCTCCAGTTCTGAACCAGATCCCTTTGCGTGGTCATGCCTGTCAGTCTTTGGTAACATACGGACACTTTGGTGTGCCAGTGAGGAGGGGAGGAAGAGGAGCAGAGGTGGCTGAGTAGGAAAGGAGCAGGAATGTCTCGGTCCGAAGACAGGAGCGCTCTCTTGCCATCATCTGAGCAGCACGTAAAGGAAGAAAGTCAATGGGCCACAAAGACAAGGGCTGTGCAGGGCTGGGACACCGCTTCCTGGAAGAGCAACCGCTGCCAGCCGAGAAGAGAGAAAAAGAGTTAGTGATGGGACGGATCCAGACCTCATCAAGCACGTCAGTGCACACCAGTGTCTTAGCCCCTCCTGCCACCCCGAACTACAAAGCACCTCCCAGATCTACTGGAAGAGCTTTCTAGCCTTCCCTGGATATTCTCAAGGCTTCCCAAAATGACTTCTTTTCCAACTTGGGAAAAAAGGTTGAATCTTAGATACTTTTGCAACCCAACCCTCCTTTCTTTCCTAGAAGATTCAACTTGAGTCAAACAAAAGGTTCTTCTTGTGTTTTGGTTACAGCTTAGCAGTCCTAGGCTGAAACAGACCTTTAACTGCACTGGAAATTTTGGAATTTTTAGGATGTTCTGACTTTCCTGATGCTTTGTTTTTCTCTTCACCTTTAGAGTTAAGAAAACTGGTGAAAGTGACTCTTCCTCAAGGTTTATTCCCTTCAAAAATAAATAAGACAAATTGGACCTTGTTCACAAGTGCCTGTCTGGTTCTGGTTTGCATATTCTGAACATCTGCTCTCCTGCCCACCTGAGGCATGTTATCAAGGGCACAGGCAGGACTAAGGCATGAGACACACCAGTAATGCCCACCCAAGGAGTAATGCCTACGTACTGCTTACGCACCTTGCTATGGCTTCAACCTGCAGTGCACCTCAGTGAGAACGGGACTGTCTCCATTTCTGCAACACTGGCACAAGGATGATGCGGATGGACTGGAAAGGGGCTGGTGGGATACACTTCAAGCACTTGTTGCCAGGATCAGGAGGGAGGTGATATACAGCTCAGGTAGCTTGCTCCCTTCCCTCATGTGCAATACCCTGCCTGGATGTGCTTCTCTGCTCAGAGGGCAATGGAAAGAAGCCCAGCCCTCCCTGGCTCCAGGCCCCAAAAGGCAGATTTTTTTTTTCCTGGAGAAGGACTGACTTAACACTGAAGAGGCCATTAAAGACTGCAGAAGGTCTTTCCCTTTCCAAAACTCCCACACTGAGGGTTTCCAGGAAATGAGATATTGCAGAAGCCTTTAACTGCTTGGGGGATGACACCCTCAACCCAACATACTGGTGCAGACTTCAGCATGCTGGTGTCTGGCAGCAGAGTCCCTACTGGATCTGGTTGTTCCTCCGAGCTCTTGCTAACTCATGACTGTAAAGAACACATTCAACAGTCTGACAGCCCTTCTGCTGACTTCTGTTGATGGAGTCAACCATCTTGTCGAGACCCACCAACATGTCAATGTGATCTGAAACGAGCTGTGCATCCCTAGCATATTCATTCATGTATGGACTCCCACTGACTCATTTTTCTCTGAGGCACGCACACTCTCACCCTTATTCGGTCCAATTGGCTTCCTTGGACAGTCCCCTTTTTTCAGAGTGACATCATCGATGGCAATGTCCCCCTCGTAGCTCGTGCCCCGGACACCTTCAAAGATGATCTGCAAGCAGAGCATGGGGCAGAGCCCAGCGTGAGGCAGCAGCTGTGGAGGACCCTTCCCGCGCTGCGGGGCTCTGCAGGGGTGAGCAGGGCACAGACCAGATCTTATCAGGTCCCCAAGTGAATGGTTCCTTCCTGTTTCCCCAGTACTCATCGGATCTGGAGAGCTGGACCCCACTGCTTACGGGACCAACCCCTGTGTGCTGAGCGTTTGTAGAGTAATAAACGAGCATGTAGAGCTCTGCTTTATGAAGTGTGCTGCACTGACAAACCAACCAATACTGAACAGCACTCGCAAGAGTAAGTAAATTCTTATTTATTATTTTAAAGTACCCAAAAGCACACTGGGCATTTTGCCACAGTGCCACAGCTTACCAGCCTGCACAGACCCAGCTCTCACAAACAACCCTACAACAGCAAAGTAGCACGTTGGGCAAAGCCATCGGCAATAAAACATTCATTAACAAAGCATCCCACTTCCTGGGTACACATAAACGACTCGATGAGCAGATACAGAGTGCCCAGTTCATATTCACAAGCTGTCCTACAGTCCTAAACCAGGGGGGGATTTGATTTCTGTGCGTCCACCAAGCTCTTGCCTTGCCCCAGTGACCCTGGGGTTAGAGAGGTGCCAGTGCCCTCGCTGTGCCCCACCGGCTCCTGTGCCACGGAGGCCGATGTCTGCTGGAAAGTCTCCCACAGCCCACGGCACGTGGACAGGAGAGATGGTAGCTGGCTCCTTGGCTGTGGACCTGACTTACCTGGAAGGGCCCGGGTGGGTTGATGGGCACGTGTGCTTGCTGCCACATGTTCCCCCGGTTCCCACTGAGCGACCAGACCTGGGTGTCGATGGCGCGCTTGTTCCTCACGCGAACTAATAGGTTCAAGGAGCCTGTAAGATTAGAGAAACCAAGAGCTGGCATGCCGGGGCGGGCAAGCAACCCTGCCTGCTGGGCTGGGCCTTGGTGTAGCTCTGGGGCTCAGCCTTGAGCCACAGCTTTATTCCCCAGCCGGCCCAGGGACAGCCTGCAGAGCCCCAGCGGTAACCTTTTCTGGGAGACAGCTTTCTCCTGGGTTGGTGGGCAAGTGCCACTAGAAATGTTTCATCTGTCTGGGCTATCCAAGGGAAGACACAGACCCAGATGAAGACAGAGAGGACGGGATGAGGAAGAAGCAGTCTGTAGCATGGGTGGAGTGGCATAAAAAGGGGGACGGCAGAAATGCTAGCTGCAAGGGACCTCCGGAGGCATCCCATCCAACCTCCCGCTTGAAGCTGTCTCCAGCTCTGCATGAAGGCAGCATGACTTTGCCTGGCCAAGTCTCGAAATACCCTGAGAAAATAGACTTTTCCTAACGTCTAATATGAACCTCTAGTGCTACCAGTTGTGGCTGCTGTTCCCTGTTACATTGTCTAATACTGCTGATAAGATTTTGGCTCCGTTATCTTTGAAATTGCCCTTCAGACAGTTGGGGGCTGATAGCAGCCTCTTTGCCAGACTGAGCAAGTCCAGCTCCCTCAACCTCTCTCCCCCCAGGACCTCTGCTCGTAGCCCTTGACCACCCTGATGCCCGCTGCTGGACCCACACCAGTTTCTCCGCATCGCACTTGAACTGGGAAGACCAGGACACACGTTTGCCTCTCCCCATTCACCACCAACACCTGATATATGCTGTGCAGTTTACAGCCCTCTCCCTGCCCTGGCTCTGGCAGAAATATGACCCATGTCCTCTGTTGTCACTTGTCCTGGAAGCAGCCTTAGAGCGAACAGCCGTTCTTTGCTAGCGCTGGGCGGTGTTGCCTGCACCACCCAGCCCCACACTTTCAGGGGGACACAAAGACCCTGTGAATCAACATGGACTTCAAGTTCTTTCAAACAAAGCAATTTCTGAAAGGTTTCATCTGCCATTAAACCAAAGCCAACAGATTTCAAAACATTTCCAGTTCTCACTTGGAAAACAGTGTCACAGCCCCCTACTCTCTACCCTGAAATAAAACTATCTCAGTTTGTCTTCCTGCAGCATCATTTTAGTAATCCCCTCGGCTGACTTTTTTGCCTTTTTTGTTTCAGTGAAAAAACATTTTTAAACATTCACTCAGGGTTGACCTGAAATACTTTTTCTCTTTTTTTTTTTTTTTTTTTTTTTCCAATTCAGCTGGCAAGCAAAAAAATCAAACACAACTCTAGTCACGCTGTTGTTCATCAGTGTTTCTGGTCTCCATACACAGACATATTATACCTGAGAGCAGAGAGACAATAATAACCCTTACTTATATGTCCATAGTCTGTCTGATCTTGGGGTGCTGTGTTCCTGCCTGGATACACCCTTCTGAGGCAGCAGCAATAGGTCAGGGGAAGAGACAAGGAAAGAGACTTTCCTACATAACCCCCCTCCTACATGATCCCCCCAAATTCTTCATTCTTGGCACATCAGCCTTGGGGCCACTGTGTGAAGGACAGGGACCTGGAAGTACCCCTGTCAAGTGCCTGGCTGTCAGAAAGCCAGCGATACATCACAGGGAGTTCAGAGATGCATAATAAAGATGATGAAATGTTTAGATTCTGAGTGGATGACTTACAAGAAAAGGTTAAAAGAATGAAAAATGTGTATAATTTAGTGAAATGAGGAAAGAGGGGCATGTTATTGACTGGAAATAATCAGAAGCATCAGCACTAAGTCTAGCTGAGAAAACTAGATGAAGGACTGACAGGACAGGGAAAGCATATCCAATTCCCTTCCCTGGTGGTATCCAGTTTGGGATGCACACTACAATCCAAGATAAAAAGTGAAATAACTTGTTTCTTTCTCTCTTGAGACCAGCTGGCACTGCACAACCTTCGGGACACAGAGGTAAGCAAGTAGGATCTCCCTCCTAGAAACACAGTGCCAAGAACAAGAGAAGTCACTATGCGAGCCTCCAGCAAAACTAGCTTTGAGCTGCTGTTTCTTGGTGTTCTCCCTGCCTTCAGGAGCTTCCTACAAGGGAAAGTCTCTCTAAGAAGGACACCTAGTCCTCACAGAGGCCCTTGGCCAAACTGATGGCCCACGTAGGAACTACATAACCCCATAGATCAATGTCAAGAGGAGTGTGTTCAGAGCAGCTAATTACAGACGCCAGAGCCAGTGAGGTGAGGGATTAAGTGTGAATGAAGAATTAATATGAAGCTGCTAGAAAGCAAGGATTAAAAACAACTGTTGTCTATTCTACCCTCATCTGGGGACTTGCAGCTAAGATCTGCCACACAAGAGCCTGGCTGAATAGCCAGCACTGGGACAAATCAGGCAGCAAATGAACTTTGATGCCCTAGGAAAAAGCAAAGGCGAGATTGAAAGAGACCCAGCAAAGCATCTGGAATGCAAACTAATGCCCCCAAAGCACTGGCTGTGAATGCCTGGCCTAAACCCAAACCAAGCCTAAGCATATTCTGGCTGATAGCTCCGTGTCCTTGCAGCATCAGGAAAAATGTTTCAACCTTTTGGCCCTGGAATTCCCTAACAGAACAATACTGAATACAAGCAGGCATTCTTGAAATGGTTTTAACTGGAAAGGAAGCTTCCTTATCTGCCCACAACATAAAGTGTTTCACCACCCCTGTCTACACATGGAAAACGGAAGGTTAAAACAGATGAGCAGCGTGTCCATGACTGTCTTACAAATCAGTGAGAGTTGTAAAGGGGAGTCAGATCTCACAGCCTTACCTGCAATGCCCGCTAAGTTACAGAGCCTCCCTGAGGCTGGGAAAGAGCCACACCAACTCCCTTTCCCAGTAATGCTGTCACTGGGAATGTGCTTCTGGGACACATGGCAGAGACTCCAGGACTTCAAGCTAAACAGGGATGAAGTCTCCACCCCATCTAAACTGCGTCCACAGTGTTGTAGATGTTAAAGTTTGTGTAGGTCTTCTACTTTATTCCCTTCTACCATGTGTCAGTCTGACACAGGCTGACCGTCAAGTTTAAGAGCAAGTAGCCTGTGATGGAGGTACTTGGGAATGAACCTTCAGATCTGAGCTCCAGGCAGAGCCATAAAACATTGCAGTCCTGGACTACAGAAAACTCCAAGTCATATTTCCAATTGTTCAGAGCTTCTTTGTCTCCATTTTTCAGTCTGGCCCCAAAAGCCAACTGTGTGATGGAACAAAGCTTTGTGTCTTCCAAGGGAAGGCTTTGGGTTCAGCCCACTGCGCTAAAATCAAATGTTTTTCCAGGAGCCAACTTACAGTCATTAAAATCCATAGATTAAGTCTCAGGCTAAAAAGGGAGACAGAGCCTCTGTAGATACTGACCTCCATAGCTCCTCACCTCTGGTGAGCTCACACCTGCCCACACCTACCTCCATGCAATGTAACAATACCCATCTCATGCCTTGTTAGCTATCTTCACTCCCTGTGTGGCTTTCAGCATGTCACACAAGCTCAGACCAAACCAGCCACCTGACACTTGTAAAGTGCCCCTCCCAGAGCACAGACCATATTTCCAAATCCCACTTTGCAAGAGGTGGCCAATGCACGGTCCACATGTGAGGGGTGTGAGAAGCCCATTCACAGATGTGAACCGACTTGCCACGTGGTCCTTAGCAAACTGTTCTTATCTACTTTTCTCTGCTGACATGATACGATGATGATAAGAAGGATAGTAACACATACTCAGAGGGGAACTCAGAAATATAGCCAACATTTTATGAGACCTGAGCAAGAAGACACTAGGGAACAGAAGTTCCTGATCTCTTCTGCCTTTCCGGTGGCCACAAACTGAAGAATAACCGAAGTGGGTCCTGCTCTCCAACCCCCATGCTTCTATCAGTGGAGATGTGAATGGTTCATCTGGGATGTTCTCCAGTGCCAGCTGTTGCAGCCACCCTTTTTGCCTGGTTTTATACTAAAATCATGACTAGCTTCCTGTATCAGAGTCCAAATCCAGGTGGCCAGTTTTTTCTGTCATTGTCACCCCTTCCCCATCTCCCCCATCAGATGCGTTTGGCATTTCCTAAGGGCACCTGCTGGTGAGGCACACACAAAGACAGGCTATCTATCTGCTGCAGAATCTCTCCAGCTGACCAGAGACAGACAAACACAAGGGAAATCCCAGGACACCAGCAATCCTGTTGTTACCTCTCCCCATACAAGGCAATCTTCACATTTGTCTTGTAGTCTGTATTATTCCTTCTTCCCAATCAAAAGGGAGAATAAAGGCCAGTGACAAGTGATGAGGAATCAATTACAGGGAGAGTGAGCTGTACCTTCTGCTGGCTGCCTTTAAGACCAGAGCTGGCATTTCAAAAGAGTGGCACTCACACAAAAGAGCACCAGCTGGCCTGCCAGATAGAGTAGCCCAAGGGACGCCTTTAAATGTTACCTTCTTGCAACAAGAAAAGGTCTTCTCTCAGTTTCCATGAGATGGGGACTTCACTGTCACACTGAATAGCTGTGTAGATCCAGAAGACCTGGTGCAGGCAGTGCTGGGAGGGAGGCAGGGTCTGTAAGGGCACGGCCACAGGCACAGTCCATGCGGGATGGCAGAGAAGGTAGAGGCTTCCTCAAGAGCCCTCCATGGGGCAGCTAGGGGGGTTAATGTAGGGTAATGGCATGGGAAAAGGCTGAGGCATGGCTCAGTTTACGCAGCTCAGGTGGAAGACAGTCAGCTGGAGCAGCTAGGAAGCAAAGGGAAAATGATGCTGCATGCTGAGAGATGGGGTGCTGTGCCCAGGGCAGCAGAGCTCCACGGGATGGGTAGGGAAGGCTGTCAGGATCAACACCCAGAAGCTGGACTGGCCGCAGGCTCGTCTGCAGTCTGGTCTCACTGTGACTCCCTGCTGTGGTCCTGCAGGATCCCTCCTCCAGCATGGGGCAATCTGAGGAGATCAGCTATCTGTGAGAAATCCTGGCTGCAAGC